TTGAATTACAAACATTTTTACAAATGTTTCGAACATTTTTTGAAATAGTGAACAAATTTTGAAATACAGAATGTGGTTGAAAGAGTGAACAAATATGTCAACCGATTTTTTTTTTGAAATGTTCAAACGATTTTTGAATACTTGCACATATTTCGTAAAACCAGACAATTTTCAAAATTCCAAACCCATTCCTATACATGAACAAAATTTGAAAATCCTGAACAATTTTTGAAAAAGCGAATAATTTCAATATGCCAAACATTTTTTAAAATGTGAAAAAAAGTCGAAAATTATGAAAAAAAATTCAAAAATGAATAATATTCATAGTTCCGAACATTTTTTAAAACACAAAGAAAAATAGAAATTCCTGAACATTTTTGGACAATTCTTCTTTATTAAAATTCTGAACATTTCTTAAAAACGTGAACAAATTTGAAAGTCACGAACATTTTTTAAACAGATGAGAACAATATTTGAAATTCTGAACTATTTTTCCAAACATGAACAAAATTTTAAATTCCCAAACATTTTTCGAATAGAAGGGAACATAATTTGAAATTATGAATATGTTTTGAAGAGTTGAACAGTTTTTAGAAAATTTTACTTCTAAAAGTTAAAAAAGAAACGGAAAAGGAAAAAGAAGATAAAGGTGACCAAAAAAGGAACATATAACAAAAGCCAGAAAAAAGAAAAACGGAAAATAAGAAAAAAGTTATGAAAACCGAAGAAAACAATAAAAAAACAGCAGGAGAAAAGAGACCTGGACCGGTTTGGAACCTTCTAGAAGGTTCCCCAAACGGGAATCAGTGCGACGCGCAACGGGCCGGCCCATTTAGTCGCTCCCGTCGCTAGGTCTGTGCGCTTGCACGACAACTTGATGTAGTAAGCGTCGTATAGGGTTTTCCATGAGGCGAGGCTGCCAGCACTCCCATTGCACATGTACAAGACTGTGCCGGACCCTGCCTCGTCCTCCGGCCCATATGAGGCTTTCTTCATTGACAGCTCCACCTCCAGCTCCGGTAGTGTTCACTCTTCTTTGGTCAACACCGGCGACGACCATCTTTCTTCCGGCTCATCCTCAACTGCGTTGCTACGACATTCCAAGGATCTAGCTAACTGATTGATCCAAATTTGTAAGTATGGTGACCATAATATGTAAGTATAACACTAAACTTAACGTTAGGGACTTATGTGGTACGATGTATTATTACAGAATTCGACCAACAGAAACCAATGACTTCATTTGCTCGGACACATATGGATGAAGCATATCAGGTACTCCCTCTGTTCCGATTTACTCATCGTGATTTTAGTTTAAATTTGAACTAAAACCACGACGAGTAAATCAGAACGGAGGGAGTAGCTCTCAAAGCATTGATTCACAAGCTCAGTTTGCCCACTTGTCCGTGGATGCTACTACCTACACTAGTATGTCACCGACACCGTCTAGTCGTCATTTTCCTTCTCGTCCGAATCCAACAGGTCCACAAGGTATGTGCAGGGGCCGGATCAATGATCAATGACCACGAGCTGCTGGTGGACCTCCTTGTTGCTGTTGTGCGGCCGAAGCGCTCGTGGATGCGCTCCTATTCATGGCTACATGCATCTGCTTCAAGCTTGGAGAACCGCAACATGGCCTGCGTCGTGGGTTACAATAGGACTACCCTTTTTTTTCTTGCACTTTGTCCGGTTTCATCAGTTGGTAATGGGATTTCCCTAGGTTTGCTGCTCTCAGTCGGTGCATCGGCTTTCGCTTGCCCACCTTCAACTGAACAAGAACATTGATGATCACCTTTTGACATGAATTCACGGCCATTTTGGGAATCTTCAAAAGGTGTGCCTTTATTATCATGGGGATTTCACGTCGAAAGGGGTTCCACATATCCAAAACTTATCGCAACAGTATCCTAGACGTATCGATCATTATTTTCCTTTTTTTAAATGAAAAACGATGGGATATGTATTGGGCAGTATCGGGGCAGTATCCGAGTATTGGGGCGGCTGGATATGCGCGCTTTCCAAAGTATCATGCAACGATAGATCTTAAAAAAAAAGAAGTAGCAGACGCCTATGCTCCTTGGCCCAGCTAGCTTCAATGCTCCGCCTCCTTACTAAGCTAACCATGAATTCACGATTACATCTAATCCAATCATCAAGTTGCTTAACATTAAGTCATATCTACGCCAATTAATGATGGATCAGAGTACTACATGCCAAATTGTCAACATCATGCTGATCAAGTCCTTGGTGGTGAAGATTGTCGACTTCTTGTTGAATCATCAGTCCTTACACCAGCGTATGATATGAGTAAAAACAAATATACTGTAGTTTTTTCCCCTGGTGAAACTGTAAACAATGAGAGCAACTATCTCGTCGACATTTTTTTTCCTTCTCTTAAACAAGATAGAGATCGGTAATAGTACCTTACAGAGTAGCTCAGTTGGTTACGGCAATTTTCTGTCCTTCGTTAGCTGCAAAACTATTTCCTAATCACTGATGAATCACATATACATATACATATACAAGGGTTGCTTCATTTGCATGCATATGGTTCAGACGTCCGCTTTAGCTTTGAAGGATATATACATGGATTGCTTCGTTTGCATGAATCACATATAAGCGACACCGGCCGGTTTGTAGCATTTGTTTTGTTTCTTCTAGTTAACCAAGACTTGCCGTGCCCCTGTAAAACTAAAATAAAATCAATACTTGCCGTGGAATTAGTTTTGAATAAAAAATAATGAGAAAAGAAAGAAGGATAAAGAGAATAAGAGAGATTATTTTCGGACGTGGGTTACGTTGTTAATTTCCTTAAGGAGCTAGTCTTAGAGGTACTCGACTCCATAGTGTTTAATTTAATAGATTCAAAAGTGTTTGCGGAAAGAGTTGTCCAATGAAATCAATATTTTAAGCTTATTTGATTGTTACACGCAAAAACTTGTCTTGTGATAATATAAGATATTTTTTATTAGGTTTAGACAAATCCTGAAGAAAATAAATTCATACATATGAATGTATACTAGTCTGCAAAGTTTCATGGCGAAATATATTTTTATGTGAGCTACACAAAAATAACAAAAACATGAATGCCTAGCACATGTACTATTCACTATAAAAGTACATGATTTTGTTTTTTACAGCTCATATCAAAATGCATTTCATAATGAAATTTCACACACATCTAGTATACACCTAATGTACTTGTGTATTTATTTTCTGTTAAAAAATTAAGCTTAAAAGATTGGTTTTTGAAATTTTTGGGCCCCATGGATCCCGATAGCCAAAAAGCCTCACTCTGTTTCCTCACGATATTGTCGAGCTCAAGGTCAGGTAGTCATCCTTCTTTCCAACTCAGACCTCTTTCTCAGTACATGCATCCGAATTCCACAAATATGATTAACTCTTAAATCACAAGCATGACTATGCATTTCCAAAAATCTATCACTTGAGGAGCTAGGGATATCTCTCCATCACCGGATGAGCTAATCCCATGCATCTTGACCAAACCACAAAAATACATGTATGTGTCCACATACTTTTTTCTACATCATATGTATTTGGAGTAATACTCATGTACGTGCAAATTGCATTTCACAAGAATATTATTGATAGCACAAATCATGAACGCAACGAACTAAATACAGTCTTTATTACTGTGTCTGTTGCATTTTTTTTCAAGAACCTCATTGCACAAGTGCAGGGGGTTCCTGCACTTCTCTAAGAAGAATAGAGATGATCCAGTTTATAAGAAAAATCAGACCCAAAAATCTTATATATCCTGGTTAATTAGGGGAAACCGGATGAATACTCAAAAACAGAAAAATAAAATAAAACTTGCAGATAGGGACTACGAGGACAAGACGCCCATGGCATCAAAGAACGTCCTCTGATCCAGATATAAGAGTGCTAAGAACCAAAACTATTTACTCTAAAAATGTCTGACCAAAGGTGGAATTAACCTATAGTCATGGATTTGTGAAAGTCGATGTTGATGCTTCATCCAAGGACGACGATATGATGGGTGCAGCGGGAGCGATCATCATAGACGAATTGGGGCACTTCATTGCTTCAGCAAATTGGTATCCACCCCATATCACGTGTGCGGCTGCAGCTGAAGCAATTGCTCTTTGCAATGGACTATCCTTTGGTGAATCATATGGGCCGCAAGAGGGTGGAGTTTGAATCATATTGCATGCACGTTGTTTCTACTTGGCCTCGATGCTGCGGTGTCGTATGCGGAGGTCTGTCAACCGAGCAAAAACTTTGGATTCTCCTCGGTTCGTCATTGCTGTCGTAAAGCGAATGAAGTTGCGGACACCCTGACGAATGCTTCCATTATTTCTAGACTAGAGTATCTACTGTTTGGGATGATGCTATGCCAAAATTTATCTTGTCGACAATTGTAAATGATTTATCTTTCGTTTGACGAATAAAGTCCTTTATCCCTCAAGAGAAAAAGACCAAAACTATTAGGTGTGGCTCAAGTGCAAACGGAACGATTTAACAACACCATTGTTAATAAAACGTAGAACGGTGTGATGTGCTTTCTGCCTGTCGCTGCCCGTCTCGATCGGCCGCCGGCAGACGGCGCTCTTGAGTAAATAAAGATGTATATATTGCCAAGAAGAAAGTCGAGTGCATCGACAGGTTTGTTGAACGACCCTTTAACTCTTCATACATACGCTAGTGACTTTTGTCCTGTGCAACCATTTGATGCTCGGCCGGATAAAAAGAAGTTCAACAACAACACCATTGGCTCGCTAGTTCCTTTCATGTGCTACCACGCACTGACATTCTCCTTCCGCGTGGAGACCAGTTCAAACTTCCCCTGACATTTATAGTGCTCGAGCTTCCTCCTTCCCAAACACCAAGCCATGGACTCTCGCCGTCCTCATACCACCCTAGTCTTCCTGGTGTTGCTATACCTCTTCTGTGCGCCGCGCCGGGCCTCCTCGCTCTCCTTCAACCTCAACTTCTCCGACCCCAGGGCCAGCTCATCGATGGACTTCACCCGCGATGCATTCACCACTCCGTCGACGCTTGAGCTGACAAAAAATGCACGTAATGCAGATATTCAGAACAGCGTCGGCCGGGCATGGTACGCGCAAAAGGTGCCTCTATGGAGCAAGGCCACCGGCGAGATGGCCAGCTTCACCACCACCTTCTCCTTCCAGATCACTCCAGACATGGACAGCGTGACGTATTCAGGCGATGGGATGGCCTTCTTCCTCGGCCATTTCGCTTCCAAGATCCCGGACAACAGCGTGGGCGGCGGCCTCGCCCTCCTCCCCAAGTTCGCTGACGGAACAGGTGACAGCCGGATTGTGGCGGTGGAGTTCGACACTTTTGCCAACATGGAATGTGCCGACATCAACTCAAACCATGTCGGCATTGACGTCAACTCCCTCACCTCCACCGCATCCACGGACACGACGAGCTGGCCTGGAAAGAACCTAACGTCGCCCAATGTTTTGAAAACCGCCACTGTGACGTACCACAATGACTCCAAGCTGTTGGCCGTTGATCTCCTGATTGATGGTGCCTTGTACCAGGTCAATGCCACCGTTGATCTGAGCACATATTTACCGGAGGAGGTCGCTGTCGGCTTCTCCGCGGCGACCGGCGGGGTCTTCGAGCTGCACCAGATACTGTCATGGTCATTCAGCTCCACTCTGGAATCAAAGAAGGAAGCACCTCCACCTGCTGAACCTCCCCTTCCAATTCCAACCAGCAGCAACAACAAGCACAAAAAGTTGGTACCAATTCTAGTATCTGTCCTAGTTCCTTTGCTTCTTTTGTTTGTCTGCGCGGCGGTGGTGCTGGGATGGCGGGGACACAAGAAAACAAGAGCAAACGAGGACAGCGAAGAAGAGTGCCTCGACAGAGCTGACCTCGAGAGGGGTGTGGCTGCCGGAGGCCCCAGACGGTACATCTACAACGAGCTGGTCGCCGCAACGGGTAACTTCGCGGAGGAGAAGAAGCTCGGGCGAGGCGGCTTTGGGAGCGTTTACGGGGGTCAGCTCACACTAGCAGCGGCCGTCGGAGGTGACCAAGATCGTCGAGGTGTGGCGGTGAAGGTGCTATCAGCGGAGTCGACTGCGCAGGGGAGGAAGGAGTTCGAGGCAGAGGTGAGGATCATCAGCAGACTAAAGCATCGCAACCTTGTCCAGTTGCTGGGCTGGTGCGACAGCCGCAAGGGGCTCCTGCTTGTCTACGAGCTTGTCACAGAGGGCAGCCTAGACAGGCATCTCTACAACAAGGACGGAAAGCATCTCACATGGCCACAGAGGTACAAGGTCATCCTCGGCTTGGGATCCGCGTTGCGCTACCTCCACGGAGAGTGGGAGCAGTGCATCGTGCACGGCGACATCAAGCCCAGCAACATCATGCTTGACTCGTCAATGAGCACCAAGCTTGGGGACTTCGGGTTGGCCCGGCTCGTTGACCACGACACGGGGTTGCTGCAGACCACCAAGGCCGTGCTTGGCACCGCCGGCTATATCGACCCTGAGTTCGTCAAGACGCGCCGGCCGTGCACTGAGTCCGATGTCTACAGCTTCGGCATCGTTCTACTGGAGATCGTCTCTGGCCGGCGGCCGGTGACGGAGACCGCGGGGAAATCCTTCACTCTGCTCAGGTGGGTGTGGAGCATGTATGGCAGGAACACGATCCTCGACGCGGCGGATGAGAGGCTGAGGGGTGACGAGGCCGACGAGCAGTGGATGGTGCGGGTACTCATCGTCGGGCTCTGGTGCGCGCACCCGGAACGGAGCGAGCGGCCGTCTGTCGCCCAGGCAATGCACGTCCTGCAGTCCGACGAGGCAAGGCTGCCGGCGCTCACGCTGCACATGTACATGACTGCGCCAAACCCCGCATCGTCCGGCCCGTACGGGTCTTTCTCCATTGAGAGCTCTAGCTCCGGTTGTGTTCGCTCTTCTTCGGACAACACCAGCAACGCCACTCTTTCCTCCGAGTCGTCCTCGACTGCGTTGCTACGATATTCCAGCGATGGCTAATTGATTCAATCAGATTTTTTTTTAGAAATTCATCCAGATTTGTAAGACTTTTCCAGATGATGTGGCAGGGTCAGTCAAGTGACATAACATGTAAGGAAAAAAAAGAAAATCAAAAGAAAAATTGTAAGATTTTATGAATATAGCATCAAGTCTCGGTCGACTGAGATTTAGCAAGACAGTTTTTTAGACGAGATCATTGAAGAAGCGTGTTTCTACGCCGGTCTATTTTGACACTACAATATTAGAGGCTGATGCAAGTATATGAATGTATTTTACTTTGTTATATTAAATTAGTATAAAGTATATTCTCTTAGTAATTTAAGTACACTGAGTACGTATTGTGAACTTTATTTAATCAATATCCTGCGACATGGTTGTACTTTTCAGGATCTTCAACTGCAAAGCCCATATATGTGAGTCTTGACTCTTGCATTATATTATCTGTTTTTTAGGGGCATCAAAGTAGTCATAGGAAAACTTTCACAAGGAAATACCTTTGCAAATATACTTGCTCCACCAACAGAAGGGTAGAGACTGCCAGCTTTCTTGGCAACCACAAATTTGATGCCCGGAAAGTTTTTGCTAAGTTTGATCCTGTACTTTTCAGGATCTTCAACTGTATCGACATAGACCTTTGAAACGAGGTGCACCATTATTCATACTATGGTGTGAACATCTCCTGTTAGAAAGGCTATCTGCATACATGAATACCTTCTCAAGAATAGAATAACTTACCTCTGCTAGTAGAGCTCCATTGTCAAGAGTTTTCTTAACACGCCCATTGCAGAGTTATGAGATATTTCATTCCGATTAATTTTGTCCTGAAGTCAAGAAGAATTTTAATCGACTAAACAAGGTTGACATTTGAAGTTCATAGTGTACCGGAGCATACTGCTGTAGGGTCAGGGTGATTGGACGACTTGTTAACTGTTATTTAAATTGTTTCGTTTACTGAATTTATAATCATGGAAAGCCGCGTTGCAGATTTATATTACAATATAACTAATAATATGTATGCATATGACAGCTTCACCTGCAGGTAACAATTGCAAACGCTCGTACTCCCTCTGTCACGGTTTAGAAGACGCACCTCAGTTTTCATTCATTTTCAGAGAAGAGGATTAAGGCCTGTTGGTAATTAATGCAGAGTTAGTTAGGCCGTATTAAGTGGGCGTGGGCTAGCTGCATGGGGTCGGTCTCCACCAGACCACCACTGCGTGCGCTGGAACTGCTCGTTTACTGGCTGTGGGGCACACTGCACATTAAATTCTTCACTAATTTGGCACCATAGTTAACAATCGATGTTGTTTTTCAGTACGTGATACAACCAATCACTAACCACCTTGGTCCCAGAGAATTTTCTAGCGCGCCTTCTAAACCGTGACGGAGAGAGTAATTAGGTTCTTTATCAATAAGAATAATTTGAAATCATGAAGATACGAGGCATGTCAGATCACGGGAACAAATTATGTGACTGGCAGCCATAGTATGTTAAAACATTCATGAACCAAAATATGAGAACCAACCTCAATACTTGCCATGTGATACACATCTGCCGCACGTGCTTTGGAAACAAAGCTCGTCCCTCCCCCGTGCGGCGGCACCGCCCCGCACCGGGGAGCCCCCGCCCTCCTCCTACAGCCTCGCCCCTCCTCAGCTCCCCTCTGCCACCGTCGCCCGGGGCGTCACAGCGCAAAGCCCTTGCGGCGTGGCGGCGACGGCGGTTTCTCCTCAGATCTCGATCTGGTTGGGAGGCGGCGCTCCTCTCCGGCCAGATCGGCGGCGGTGGCGCAGATCGGCGGCGACATGGAGGTGGTGCGGCGGCGTCGGGGGAGGACGGCACCAGCAACGGCGGATCTGGCCTTGACTCATGTCTGGCTAATTCGTTGTGCTACCGATCTCAATCGCCGTTGGCGGGGCACTGCTCCTGGACTTGATATGCAACATGAGGATGTCTGGGGCGCCGGCCCTAGGCTTGGTGGTGGTGGCCTTCTTCTTCATCGGTGTTGGTCGGCCGGCTGGCTGTGCTCGCATGGTCATGCAGTGACCGGCGGCTTGGCTGGTCGGCGGCAGAGGAACTTGGCCGATGGCAGCGCCAAAGTTCTGTCTGGATCCCGGGGCGACGGCCCTGGAGGGTGGAGTCCGGTGAAGCTCGGCTTCCCGCAACGGCATAGCGTGGTGCAGTCCCTGTCCAAGGCGGATCTGTGACGGTGATCTGCTATGGATTGGTTCGGATTAGAGACGGTGACGAGCGTGCGGGATCCTTCTCGGCGGCTCTCGTGGCTTGGCGAGGCGGGGTGGGAGCCCTCCTCCTAGGCTCCAGTGGTGGCACACTCAGGCAGTGGCCGGTGCGTCAGGGATCCCACGGTGGCACTGTTGCTGCGGTTGGTCGCAGGATCTAGGCGGCTAGATCTGGGGCTTTGAAGGCAGTTGAGACGGTGCACAGGTTGTTGGGTGGATTTCTTGGGACGGATCCGGGTGAAAACCTGATCTTCGGTCGATGGCCGGAGCCGGTGATGACGATGCCCTTATCATCGTTTCCTTCATGAAGGCATCGTCGAGGTGAAGCTCCCAACTCCACTCAATACCTCCGGGGGAAACCCTAGATCAGCTGATCGGATGTTGTCGGCAATCATGTGTCGTAACCCCCTTGGGGGCGGCATTCTTGGAGGTGCACTCGGCTTCGTGAGACCACCGGACGGCTTCTTTGGTGGAGCGGCGCTTCATCCATACATTGATGGCGACGGATCTGGACGGCGTGGCGCAGTGCAGGTTCAGAGTTCGATGTGGGAGGATGGACTTGCGCAGGAGGACGACGTTGTCTGGCGCGTCCTGGTGGCGTCGATGGCTGGGAGACCTGGCACGGTAGATGCAACAGTACAACTCTGAAGATGGACTCGTGACAGGTGGCTGCGGCGGCCCCATACCCGACAGGCGTCCTGGTTGAGGAGTGCGCCGGACTGGTAGGTGCCCCATACCAGGCAGGCGTCCTGGTTGGGACCTCAGGTCTTAGATGTTTAGGTTTGGCTGCGATGTCTGTTTGGTATTAGGCCCAGACTATCAGCGCCCCTTCATCCATTGGATAGATGTAGCGACAGTTGTTGCTTAGATGGTGGCTTCAGTCTTACTGTTGTATGACTTTGTAAGGCCTTGTGAGAATAATTAATAAAGTGGCTGCATGTATCGCCCATATGTGAAGGCCTGGGTCATCCTCCTTTTCTAAAAAAGAAATACTTGCCCGAATCAGCTGATCAGAGCTATGCTACAACAGAATCGTTGGGTCCAGGAGGGGATCGTAGGCGAAAGAAAACAAATGAAGATTGGGCAACCTACCCGAGAACCATAGCCGCTCGAGGTTCTGCTACCGGATTAAGAAGAGGGACGGGCAGAACCTTGAGCGTCCGCGTCGGTCTCCGATCTTGTGGACGGATGCCCTTCCCGTTTCTGCAGGCAGCGACCGATCCCCTTCTTTCTCTCGAGAAGCGAACGATGCAGTCTGCCTGCCGCGGGTTCGCATAGGGCACGACCGAGCGGGAGTTCCTATTGGATGCTCTTTGCGTCCAACAGCACCCAGACGCACAGAGGACTAGCGACTGGAACACACAGAGGATCAGGGACTGGGCCGGCCCACTAGCAGCGAAGAAACGAAAGTGCGGCGTCAAAATGGCAGAAAAAAGGACGATTGTTCGTCGGATTGAAAAAGTGATCATCAAAATTTATTTATTTTTCATCGAATTCAAAAAATGTTCATCAAATTCTAAATTTGTTCATCTATTTCAAAAATTGTTCAACAAATTCAAAACTTGTTCGTCGATTTGAAATATGTTCATACATTGTTTTTCCACTAAAATATTCTTGAATATAATTTTTGTTTAGCAAGTTTAAAAATGGTCATCATATTAAAGTTATGTTCATCAAAAATAAAAAAAGTTCATCATTATTAAAAAATGCTTATATAAATTTGTTCGTCAAAATAAATAAATTGTCATTAAAATTCAAAAAATGTACATTATTTTCAATTATGAACATTGTTTTACTAAATTCACTTTTGTTAAAATTTGATGCTTTTCTAAATTCCGAATTATTTTGAAGAAAAACGAAAAGCATAAATAGTAAAAGAAAATGAATTAAAAAAACTGGGGCGTTCAACCCCACTCACGGGCTGGCCCACTATGGAGGCACGGGAACGGAGGGGTGCGCGCTGGCTTGTTCGGCAGCGCGGAGCGCCACACGCAGGGAGTTCCTATGCGACGCATTCTGCGTCAACTAGTCGGGTGTTCGCACAGGGTAGTTTGTTTGTGGGCTTACTGGCCGCGATGCGCTGGTTTCTCTGTTTCTTTGTTTCGCGCGCGTTTTGCTATTTCTCTCGTTCTTTTGAAAACTGTTTCTGCTATTTCGCGCGATGCACTGCTTCTGCTGTTTCTCTGTGTTTCTACTGTTTGTGAAAAGAAGAAGAGTTCCAATAAAGTGATCTTCTGTTTCTACTGTTTCTACTGCTTCTGCTGTTTCTTTCTGTTTCTACTGTTTGTGAAAAGAAGAACAGTTCCAATAAAAGAGAAAACCAATGCCAATCTTGTTTCTATTTGTGAAACTTGAGAAACAGTAGAAAAAGAAGAGTTTCAAGACACCAAGAAGTGTCCAAGAAAGTATCAATATAGGAGCAGAAAAAGAAACATGCAAAAAAAACTATATGGAAAGAAGTATATAAATAACTTATCCTGCAGATTTAAACCTTCTTTACAACTGAACGTAATGCAAGGAAGTATCACTGTGGAACCATGTTAAAGAAACAACATATTAGTTTCCTCATGGTACTGTTCCTCATGCTGTTTCTATGTGTTTCAACTGTTTGTTAAACTGTTGTAAAGAAGATTTCCAACAAGACCAGACACAAAGACAAGGAACATACAAAAGAAGATTTTTGCTGTTTCAACTGCTTGTTAAAACAGTTGAAAATCCAAGAAAGTAGATTTTCAAGAGAGTATGAGTATAGAAGCATG